CATCTGGTTCCATTTCCAACCGCACTTTCTTCAATTCTCCAGCAGTCCTTGTGAAGCTAACTCGTTTCTACTTGCTCATAACATAGTTCTCACAATGACCCACATCAATAGATTTCAGACCTTTTAAAACTCCTTTCGCAGTCAACGTTTTCATTCCTTTCACGCTCATATGTCCAAGTCTATTGTGCCATAGACTTGAATTTGAAGCACTCTCAGCAACAACAACTATGTTCAACACCCTGCAGTAGTATATAAGGTTCCAGATTTTGAGCCACGTGCTATCACTGTAGCATAATCTTCCACGAACTCTTCCCTAACTTTGTTGCATAACCTGTGCTGTCCAACTGGCCAATAGAGATCAGGTTCTTCTTGAGACTAGGAATATATTTGACATCCTTTAATGTCCACTGATTTTCTGCCGGAGTTTTTATGCAGACATCTCCTTTTCTTTTAATCTCCAAACCTTTGTTGTCGGCAAGACACACTTTCTTGAAATGTCCAGACTTGAAATTCCGGAACAATTCTTTATTTGGAGACGAATGATGGAGTTTTGGAAGAGTAACAAATGGTGGAGTTTTTTTTTTTTTTTTTTTTTTTATATATTTCTAAATAAAATGATTTTTACATAATATAAATTTGAATCTAACTATTACTCACGTCGATTTTTATTATTACTACATTATATTATTATATTTTAAAGTTTTGGTGGTTACTCACATACTTTTTATGATTATTATATTATCATATTTATAATAAAATTTAAAATTTTAATATAATAGTTACTCACGTAACTTTTTAATATTATTATATTATTATATTTATAATAAAATTTGAATTTGTGGTTGGACCGTTACTAACATTAGTTTTCATTATTTTTATATTATATTATTATTTTAATTAAAAAAATTAAATAAACGAATTTAAAATTTTTTCTTAATTATTTACTTTTAATCTCTACCTTCATTACTCCTAACCCAATCCAATGAATTAATATTAATTTTTACTTTTTGCCACTTTTATTCTCTATATAAACTCATCCATTTACCCATATTTTCAACACACAACTTCCATAAAATCTCCAATCCTCCTGAGTTCAAATTCTCCCTTATTTGTTGCTCTCTCCAAACTTCCAATTTTATTTTTATTCATTTTATTCTTGAGGGGATTTGTATTTTATTATGAGAAAAGAGTTGTGAGTGCTTCAAATTGTAAATCTACTCTTTGAGAGAGTTGTGGTGTGTTACTACCAAATTCAAATACTTGTACCGGTTTGATCTTGCGCCGTGGAAAGGATTGAGTTTGCTCTTGAACTCGTAAAAAGAGCGGTGCAGCGGTTTGACTCTGATTCGTGGAAAGAGTCGAGAAAGTTGTTTATTCAAATTCCCAAGAGGCGCTTGAGGAGTGGAGTAGGTCGAGTTTGACCGAACCACTATAAAACTACGATGTCATATTTTTTAACTCTTTCCTATTTAATTTCAAAATTATTATTGTGATTTATTGCATGTTTTAGTTATTATTATTTTGACTTTAATTATTTTGTTCTAGTAATTATCATCTTCAACTTATTTGTAATATTTTGTTCCATAAATTATCATCTTATACTTATTTTACTTATTTGTAAGAAGTTTCATAATTAGAAAAATTAATCACGTTTAAATCCTTTTATTGTTAAAACCCTATTCACCCCTTTAGGTTTGCCATACCGATCCAACACCGCTTAGGATAGTCACCTAAGAGAATACAACTTTTAAATGATAGGTCTCATTCAAGCTACATGCTAGTTTTATTTTCTACATTTGCAAAGTATCATTGCACAATTGACGGCGACATCACAATTTTATAAACCATGACACATGCATATAATAGTTGTATTTAATTTCATAAACTATAGGTTAGTATAAGGTATTTATGTTTTAGTTTTACTGTCTATTTTATTTTTAAGTTGTTTAATTTTAAAGACTTTTTATTAAACATCAAATCCATGACAATGATTTACAACTGTGTCTCAAATGATTATTTCCGCATAAAATTGTTACATTATGTATATGATAACGATTTTAAGTTAGTACTTGAAAGCCCGTAAAACGGTGAAATTCCAACAAGTTTACGAGGAGTTTGAATGGAAGATGTGATGTGATCAAGCCCGATTTGGTTTTCCTTCTTGGCTTGATGTGCTCTCAGTCCTTGAATGTCGAGACCTACACACTATCTAACATCATAGGAGAAATGAACAAGCTCTAGAGATGTGCCAAAGTACTAATATTTTTGTGTTGTAGTGTAGTTTCGATAAGTAGTGTGTTGAGTAAGGCATCAATCATTTTTAAGCAATGAACGGGGCCTCGACATTTCTTTTGAATTCATGACCTTGCAAAATGTGAGCTCTCATGGGAAAGTTAGGTGCCCTACTAAAAAGTATTTCTATGGCATATGAGTGAGTGTAACGACCCTATATTTCTACTAACCTAAAGTCGTTACCTCCATTTCCTTCATTTCTTCTATCTTAGTTCATGATTGTACAAATAGTAGTGGAATATGTTTAGGACCTCACACACTCAACTCACTGATTTTACACTCAGGGACACTCGTGTTCATACACACAAAGGTAGACTGTTTGGGAAAGTAACTAAATTATGATCAAGGTAGGCTAATATATCGGTAAAGTAATTCTAATAGTAGCAAGCTATTCAAGGCAATTAAGATAAGTTAATTATGAAATAACAACAAAATAAAACAAGACGTGAACAAAAAAAATAAGAGACACGAAGATATTTTTGGATATAATTGCACACTGAACAAAAATTCCAAAAAGAAAGAACGTGAAGATTTTAAGAACGATTTAACTCTCCTTTTTACAGAATTCGGGAAATTTAGAAGTTATCTTCAAGCATAGATTATGAGGAAAAGAAAAAAANAAAAAAAAAAAAAAAAAAAAAAAAAAAAAAAAAAAAAAAAAAAAAAAAAAAAAAAAAAAAAAAAAAAAAAAAAAAAAAAAAAAAAAAAAAAAAAAAAATATATATATATATATATATATATATATCAAACACAACGATTCTAAATTTAGATGGATGAAGAAAAAGATGTGAATCAAAGTTTATTTGATCTTCAAATAAACATGCAAACGATCTAAAAAAATGATAATATCGTTTATAATCACAATCATAAGAACAAATATGATAAGATTTTTTTTTCAAGATCTCAACGTGATCTTTAGTAAGAAAATGAGAAAAAAGTGAAAAGTTGATGAATAATTGCTGAAATGACAACAAGAAAATAAATGGACAAATTTAAAGAAAAGATAAAATCAATTCTAGAGTCGGCAAAGATGTAAGCCTAGGCTCTGATACCAAACTGATAAGGCAACCCTAATCCTCAGCCCAACGATCCAAACTTTTGTTTTAGCAAGAACCCTTGAATCAATGTAATTAACACCTCCTTATACGAAATTTGGATCAACAAGAGATAAGGCTAGAATTAGATTACCTCTTACGATCATCGAAGATCTAGAAGCAAGATTTGGAACCTTCTTCTAAATTGAGTCACTCCACAATCTAACTTGATCAAGGCTTGATTGAATGGTTCGGGTGCAATTCTACCACAAGAATTGCTTGAAACTTAGAAATGACAAATATGATGCTCGGATTTCTAAGGGAAACGTCTCAATTTGAGATCTGAATTACATTCATCCACGAATCTGCTTTTTATCTAACATATTGCAAAATGAAAACAAAAAAAACAATAAATTTTTTTAACAAATGTTGATATGTTTAACTTGAAATCTATTAGGTCCTTTGTCAATTGTATCAACTTCTTCTAATTCTACAAAATTCTTATCAATCATGTTGCAGTGAATACATTCCTTTGAGACCATCAACTTGTATTTGTCTATGAGGATAGTCCCATCATCTCGTATTGGTTGATAAGATAGTCTTCACTCTTAAAAGCAATAACCATGTTGTAGTGAATACAAAGAAATGTTGAGCAATAACCATGTTGCAGTGAATACAAAGAAATGTTGAGACCATCAACTCGTATTAGTCTATGAAGATGGTGTTCACTTTTAGAAGCAAGAATTAAGTAATATAACCAAGAATCCAAAGCAATGTTGAGACCATCAATTGTCGAATCTAAATTTTCAATCCTAAACATGGGATGTGACCGATCATGTGGTTGATCCCTAAGAGGGAGACCAATATGAGAGAAACAATGAGGGTTCGAGAGAGAGAGAGAGTTCGACATGTGCAAGGTGAAGGAAGTTGATCGAGAGGCACTGGAAGCTAAGAGCGAGCAACCGAGAAAGAAGCTAGGTGACCTCGAGCTGCGTGTGGCTTAAATAGGCAACAAATTAAAGGCCTAAACTTACTTACACAAGAGAAAGAATAGGAAAATAGATATTGGAGATGGTACAAACTTCAAATTTTAATTAAATTATACTTAGTAGTTCTAGAATATTTTAGAAAAAGAAATCTCTAAGTTAACTACACAAAATAAGTCTCTATTATCATTACAATCCAAGTTGAACACTCATGCTTTGGAAAAAAGGCTTTTTTCTTTGCATAATTCTAGTGCTTACTTATTGATTCATCTACAATAATAATGCACATCAATTCATCAAAACGTGTCATATATTAAAAGAGTTTGGTTTTAAACGTCTATCCTCAAGTCAAGACACTTTATCCTTATCATCCTTAACTTTTAAAGAGATAAACTCCCAATTTTACATGGTCTAATCAATCATTTGACATTTCAAATTTCTTTTGCTTGATTTTTTGGACTTGGGGTGAATGAATGGATGAAGCACATATTTAAATCAACTTTAAGAAAAGAAAACCACCATTCCAAATTTGGATTCCTATACTCCATTAATCTCTAAATACGACATATAACCTCCTAATTAAGAAAAAAAAAAGATTAATTATAATAAGAAAACTAATTCTTATAACCTTATTTAATTATAAGATAATAATAATAATGTACATGAAGTTTGAAGATTTGGATTTTGATTTTGGTATTTACTTGATACTCATAATGGGAAGAACTGGGTGTGTAAGAGCTGTTCTCTTCACGAACCTCCCTTTCATTCTGGGTCTCTTCTCCGCATTCAATTTCCTAACTTCGTACCTTATTTTCTTCGAAAACAACCTCGTCCGCCTCTTCTCCCTGTACCGCAAAACACGCGCCTCCCTCCTGCCGTCCCCCATCGCCGCCGTGCCCATCCCATATTCCCCACACCCCTGCCCGTTCCTCCCTCCACAAAGCGCCTGCAACATCATTCTTAACATTAACAACATTAATTAACTAATGGGTACAATTTAGAAGGCCACATTTGATTTGATTTGATTTGATTTCATTTTCTTTCCGTATTTGCAAATATTCTTTAGAATTTTGCGAGTTTTGAGTGAGAGAGAGTTGAAGACAACCATGAAGTGAGGCCAGGGTTGGTCGGGGTCTAAATCGGGGCGTTCTCCGGTAGTCCATGGAGACTTGTCGTCACCCCAGGCCGCAATTACTGCCTCACAATCCAATAGCAATGTCACTCTTCTTTTCATCTGCGTTTTCGATTCATCCTCTGTTTCCTCTGCACAATCCTCTTGTCTTTCATTCTTGACATCCACCACTGGTATCAACTCGAAGGGCTCTCGCATCACATCCATCTGAGCCTCGAATTGATGTTGAGCCCTACAATAATCAGCTTCTTGTTGTTCGTGAAGATCCTCCACCTTAACCAACCCGAGCCCCTCCATGTCAAAGCACTGCCTCTCCAAATCGGAAGCAAAATCCGCAAGATCCAGATCATGGGAGGGGAGGAAGGGGTCGAAGGTGGGGACTCTATACAAGAGGTGATCCTCTTCATTGTCTTCGTGGGAGGTAGCGTCGTCGGCCTCGGGGACGAGGGAGAAGGAGGGGTTAGAGAGGAGGTCGTCGGATTTTGGGCGGGGAGGGGGCCGAGGGGTGCGGGGCTTGCGGGTGAAGCCGGACACCCACGAGGGAGAAGGGGGTTTGGAATTGGAGGAGGTGGGTGAGTTAAGGCGGAGGCGTTGGTGGCGACGGGCCAGGGGGTTGGCTGAATGGACGGCGGAGTCGCAGGATTGGCAGAGAAAGGCGTCGTCGGCAGCGCAGTACCATCGGGCTCGCTTTCGGAAGCAGCTGTCGCAGGCTCTTGCCGTCCTTCCGCCCACTGCGTTGGCTATGCTGCTTTTGGTTGACATAATTTCATCCACTTCCTGCGTATCCAACTTCCACTTCTGATATGATCGGAGAGAAAAAAGAAAAACAAAAAAAAAAGGTGAAGCAGAGTAGTCAGACCATTACTTCAGAATAATGGCCCACGCCGCACCCTATAGTTTTTTCAAAAACAGAGTTCAAAATTGAAAAGCAATTACATTTATCTACAATTTCCTTTACTAGAATTTACTCACTTACTGATTTCATTTGTGAATTATACACATTGCCCTCTTCTACCTTTCGAACTCCATCCTCTATTTTTTTTTTCTTTGTTATTTCACTCTCATTATATTGACGTTGTTTAAATTTCACCCTAGTGAAAATTGACCTAATAAAATTTATTGAACCTCTACTCTAGTGAAGATTAGGAGTAAAAGGCTCAAATTGAGTGTAGACTCAAATATACCTAATAATAAAAATTTTCCAACATCAATAGAAGATTAAGAAGAAAAGGCTTGAATCGAGTGTAGACCTGAATGCACTTACAACTAGCCAATACTTAGACCAAACCAACCAAACCTAACCTAACCATGATTACGAGCGAAAAAACTGGATCAAGATCGAAAGTTGCCCAAGCATATGCCGAAATCTCCCACTCAACAAACTTCTTTCGATCCAATAGAAATCTTGGGTTATCCCACAAATTCACTTGGGCATCATTATAATTGAATAGTGGTTGTGCAATTGTGTTAGAGATAGAGAAAATGTATGAATTAGTGATTGAATAAAGTGGAAAAGAAGAAGAAAAGTAGAAGATGGTTGGGGAAGAGTACGTTTGTTGTTGTCTCTTAAACGCGCTGTCCCACAACTTTCTCTTTTAAGAGTGTATGGAGCATCCATCTGTACGTTTTTCAACGCTGCACTTTGAAGGTCATCATCATCCATGGAGGAGAGAGAGAGAGAGAGAGAGAGAGAGAGAGAGAGGTCTATTGGTGGACCACAGCAAGGTCTTATCTATTTTCCAATTGGTGGAGGCCCTGAATATAATCCCAATCCCCTGATTCTGATTGGTCATCTCTCTAATCGCAGGGATTTCATGGTGGGGTGCTCTCTCTCTCTCTCTCTCTCTCTCTCTCTCTCACACTATGAACCTTCATTGCTTCTCCCTTATAAATTAATCTCTCTATCTACCCAAACCAAATCAACACCCCAACTAAAATCCGACACATAAACAAACAAAACGCCCATCCGTCCCTTTCTTTCCATTTTTCACTCTGCCCCTCACTCAAATACTGTACTAGTTTTGATTTCCTGGGAGAATGTTTTTCAATATCTAGCTGTTTTTTTGGTAACATATTCTATTTGCTTTTTCCTTTAACATCTGACAATCTTCGTTATTGTTTTCCCCAACAGTATTAAACGGCAAAAACTGTATTCACAAAAAATTACGTCAAACTCATCATTGAAAGTGGCCAAGTAGCGATCAAGAACTGGACAAAAGCTCATTCGAAAAATAGGAGAAAAAAAGACAAAAAAAAAAAAAAGAAACTTAGTAGAGAATGAAGACAGATTAGAGAACAAATGTTAAAATGTCTATCGCTAGCCCAATTGCGTTAACCCACCCGTTGTACAAGTAATTATATTTAGGATTTAGGATTTTAGGAATAAAGGTAGGAAATGATCTAGGGATTTTAGGAATAAAGTTAGAAGAATGATTTAGGTATTTTAGGAAACACATGTAGAAATTTTAGGGATAGATTGACTACTCTAGTATAAATACCCTCCACTCTACTTAGTTCATCATCCCCAGAAATCTCCAACAATACAAATAGTAGTTTCTACAGAGAGTTGTGTTCATCAATATGGTATCAGAGCAATAAAATGTGTGAGTGTTTCCCACAGAGAGTTGTGTTCATCAATATGGTATCAGAGCAATAAAATGTGTGAGTGTTTCCCACAGAGAGTTGTGTTCATCAATCTGGTATCAAAGCGAGATTAGTCTAGGTTATCTGATCTCTTGGAATTCTTAGTATGCTCTGTGGTTGCAGTTCTATCTGATCTTCCACATCAGAAACAATTTCTTGAGATTAGTGGTGGGTGAGTTTCTTTTGTGTTGTGAATAGTCTGTGACTCTGCAAGTCTTGTGTTGAAAGAGTTTGTTTCGTATTACTGAGGTATAGCCAGCACGATGGGTGATTTCCAAATCGTTGGACGAATCAAGAAACTCAACAACAACAACTACAACACGTGGACAACATGCATGATGTCCTATTTACAAGGACATGATCTTTGGGAGATTGTTGGCGGGTGTGAAACAACACCGCCAGAGGATGATTCTAACGGCGCCTTGCGCAAATGGAGAATCAAAGCAGGCAAAACAATGTTTGCCTTGAAGACCACAATCAGAGAAGAGATGTTAGAGCACATTTGGGATGACAAGACACCGAAAGAAGCATGAGACACGTTCGTGATGCTGTTCTCAAATAAGAACGATACGAGGCTACAACTTCTGGAGAATGAGTTGTTGTCAATTTCACAACGTGACATGACAATTGCTCAGTACTTCCACAAGGTCAAGTCGATCTGTCGAAAAATTACTGAACTAGACCCGAAATTCACCATTGTAGAATCTCGAATGAAGAGGATTATAATCCACGGATTGCGACCAGAATATAGAAGCTTTATTATTGTTGTACAAGGATGGCCCACTCAACCATCACTTGTAGAGTTCGAAAATTTGTTAGCCAGCCAATAAGCCATGACTAAACAAATAGAACGCATCACATTGAAGGGTGAAGAAGAAGCACTCTACACAATTGAAAGCTGGAGCAATAATAGGTTGTCTACCAAACGTGGATACAATGGTGACAAAAGAAGAAGTCACAAAGGAACTGTACAACCAGGGAGAGCTCAGAAGAACGATAACAATAACTTTCAAGGGAAGAGATTTGAAGGCATCTACTACAATTGCGGGAAAAAGGGCCACATGTCCGAGGATTGTTGGTCTAAGAAAAATTTTGTTGAAAGTAATGTGGCAACATCCAAAAACGAGATGGAGGAGGAATGAGATGTAGAGGTATTGTATGCCATAGAAGAAGATGAGCTAGCACTCATGGCGATGATAGGAGACCATATCGATTATGAAAATGATTAGATCATTGATTCAAGATACTCAAACCACATGATTGACGATCAAAGTGGTGCAATAGAAGAGGGGTGGCCCTTAGTGAAGAAAGTATTACCATGCCTTGAGCAAATTGAAGAAATTCTTCTAACGGGAGAGCAAACTGAAGAGATTCTTCCATAGAAGACGGGGGAGAAAATTGTACACATTTGCTTAAGGGATGATGTGCCTGAAGATTCAAGCCACACTAGTGTTGGTGAGTAAGAAGTGACTCAACCAAGCGAACCTAGTGAAAAACAAAGGACACTTCAACAACTAAGACAGTTAGAAATAATCAAAAAGCCAAGTCTAGAGTATGCCAACGCAACTCTTGTAGAAGACAGAGTTAATAAGTCAGAGATATATGAGGATGTATCACAAAACTCGGTTTGGCAGAAATCGATGGAGGAAGAAATTATAGCCCTGGAACAAAATCAAACTGGGGATTAGTGCCAAGACCAAAAGATACCAAACTCATCTCTTGCTGGGCTTACGAAATAATGTACGTCTCTCGGATGGATCAATCGATAGATACAAGACTCAACCTGTAGCTCAAGGGTTTTGTCAACAATATGGACTAGACTATGATGAAACGTTTAGTCCAGTGGTGAATATCACTATCGTACAGGTTCCTCCAACACTTGTCAATAAAGATTGGAAATTTTGGCAGATGAATATGAAGAATATTTTCTTGCATGAAGAGTTGGACCAGGAGATCTACATGAACCAACCGAAGAAATTCGAAAATGAAGTTGGAGTCATTGATCAATATATGTAAAATCCGAAGAAGCCTCATTTGGATGCGGCTCGACGGACCTTGAGATATGTCAAAGGTACAATCAATTACGATCGTTTATACAAAAGACGCGAAGACTAGAAGCTAGCTGGATATAGTGATGTCGACTATGCAGGAGACCACGATACCCGAAGATCAATCACTAGGTATGTGTTCAAGCTCGGTTCAAGAACAATTTTTTGGTGTAACAAAAGACAACAACCAATATCATGTCAACTAGAGAAGCAGAGTACAAAGCAGCAGTTGGAGTAGCTCAAGAAAATGCATTGTTAAAACTTTTGATGGAAGATTGGCACTAGAAAATTGAGTATCTAATACCACTTCATTGCAACAATCAATCTGTGATTTGCCTAACAGAAAATTCGGTGTTTCATGCTAGAACAAAGCATGTGGAGATACACTACCATTTCATTAGAGAGAAAGTCTTGAAGGAAGAAATCGAGATGCAGCTGATCAAGACAGATGATCAAGTGGCAGACTTGTTTACAAAAGGGTTGAATACTGGCAAACATGAGAGTTTTCGCTGTCAGCTCAACATGGTGCAACGAATGAGAACTAATGCTGAGGGGAAGTGTTAAAATGTCATCCCTAGCTCAATAGGGTTAAGCCCAACCATTGTATGAGTAATTATATTTAGGTAGGATTTAGGATTTTAGGAAAAAAAATGTAGGAAAATGATTGATTTAAGTATTTTAGGAAAACATGGAGAAATTTTAGGGATAAATTAACTGCTCTAGTATAAATACCCTCCACTCTACTTAGTTCATCATCCCAAGAAATCCTAAGCTATACAAAGTAGTAGTTTTTACAGAGTGTTTTATAAATCTCTTCTTGATTGATTTTAATAAAGTGTGCGAGTGTTTCCCACAGAGAGTTGTGTTCATCACAAACTAGGTCTAAAATCAATTTTGGATTCAGACCTCAAGCTTCAAAACTAAACCTGACTTAGACTCTCAACCATCCAAATCACAGGCTTGGACCCACATCTTCAACCATCTCGACTAACAATTCGCACACTAACTAGATGCGGCTCGCCATCCACTCGGGCTTAGCCGATTCCCTCTAATGCACGGCTCCCTCTCTTCCGACTTGGCTTGGCTAAATAGCTCGAATTGAAGTTTTAGACATTGTTTAACCATATTGGACCATGTAAAGGCTATTTGAGATCAGTATGACTATTGTTTAGTCAATTTAAAATTTT